CTCTTGCCCTTTCTTCTATCTTTATCCACACGGACGACATTTCCCCTTATCTATGTATTATCGACCCACCCGCGATGCGTGCATGATGCACCCAGCCCTGGATGACCCGGATGGCCTCACGGTGCAACCCAGCACGTGCACGTGCAGCACTCACCCTCGGGATCCCCCATGGGGACACCTGGATGACTGCGGCTGTATGCAGGGTGACGTGGCAAACCTCATGTGACCCAAGCCGCATGTACATAAAAGTACCTGGGGTGGGAACCGAAGAAGTAACCTTCTTCTCACAATTCCCACTTCAGTCTGAGTGGCCAGGGATCGTCGTCCCGGATCGGGCCTGTCACTACGCACGCCCGCTCTACACCTCGCCACGGCCTCAGTGCTGGGCATTACACCCAAGCCCCCTCGACCCCAGATGCGTCCCTGACAAGCTCCCATCAACGTAACAATTGACCCCAACTTCCCCATGAGGAGAATAGTGGGGTCAGAAGTGGTGCATGATGCCGCATACACTTGGTGGACAAGGGTGAGTGGAAAAGCATTTGTACAATGGTACGAACAGGCCAAAGCCACCTTCAAAAGTGGCAAGGTACATAGAGTCCTTTGTGAAAAAGTGAAGGAAACCAAGAAATATTTCTTGGAACTCCCAAGTATTGCAAAACTTGCAGAGGAGTACAACTCCCCAGAGAACAGGGAAAATTTATCCTGGGAAAGTCTAGGCCAAGCTGCCTATGTGAAGTCCCAATTCAAACCACTCAGGACTCCTGAGGAATGCACTGCAAAAGCTGCAGGGTGGGAAGCGAAAGCCTCCAAGTACCAAGAGAGAGATGCAAGTCTCTGCACTGGACAAACAAGCCAGTGACCATCCTTCCCCACAGGAAGAACGGTAAACTTACTGTATTCTACACCCGAGCCAAGTGGCTCAGGAACACAACAACCTGCTCCCACCCAGGAAGCACCCACTTCATCGAGTCCACAGCTTGACACCGTAGCCCAGGCTATGTCATCGCATCCGATGCAGCAATCGGATGTCCAGATGAACAACCTGGAGGAAAACCCTCCTCTGGGGCAATAACTCTACCCTCGAAAAAGGGAAAGTGACACAGTAATATGCCATTGAGGCACCTGTGAAAACACCTTCCCCCAACTCAACCGCAAGTAACAATTGCGGAAACTTCTACTCCATCTAACCCACATCCACCACCGCTCATGTCTAAACACCATTTACACATGAATCCTCATGGAACAAGTGAGGAATACCAAAGATATATAATCTTTGGGTCAAAATCTATTTTCGAAACTTTCTTCTTCCTTTTTCCCTTTTGTGATACCCATGTATCACCATTCATGTCATATCCCAGAATCCCGACCCCATGCACTCCCACCACACCACACCTTCCTAACAACTTCACCATCCCCTACACCATGCCTCCCCACTCCCCAAGTCACCTCCCTTCCTAACTGTCTCAGCTCCAGCCTGGTTGCGGCACACCGAACCTTGGCTACTCCCATCCCAGAAGCTCGGCCCTGAGTCGGAACATTCAGAGACTCTGGATTGCTCCGATATCCCAACAGACCTCCAACATCCCGTGACACACCCCTAAACCATTTCCCCACCCATTTCATTTATTGGAGTCACCCAACATCCTTCGGATACGTAACTCCGCTTCAGAGCTATCCGCATCCTTCAGTGACCCCACTCACGTCATCATTTATTAGTCACCTTCCATTCATAGCACGACTATCTTCTTCTTACCATTCAGTCAGCTAGCCCCCTCTTACCCATTTCTCATTCCCATTCATCTCCCGGCCACTTACTCCGCCCCCCCTTGACCTGACACCTCGGTTCCCCGTTAAGGATATCGTTCAGCACCTTTCGGTGTTCTTCTATTATCATTCGGACTTTGACTAAGTCCTTTCCATTCCCCCTTATAAATACCTGTAGATTAGAACCTGTAGTTTTCCTCAGTTCTAATCTCGACTAAAATGCTACCCCAAGTCCCTCTGAGTGAATCCCGGCCCCTTCCTACAAGATACCTCAGACATAAGAAATACAAGGACTAACTGAGATGTAATGGAGGCACAGCGCTCCCTCCCCTCCTTAGAGCCTCTTGTACCATCCAGCAGAACTGGGCTTCCTGGAGAAGCTTTGGTCCACTACTGGAGCTCTCAGATCCCATCTAGTTGAGCCCCGCCTGCATTCGGACTCACGCATTTTCCCCTACGATCCGGGGTTTTGACAGTTCACTTCAAAGTGATGGCCTCACACTCACTCACTCCTTCAATTTCTCTTGCCAACATGTACAAATCGCCCACTTTAAAGTGGTGATAACAAAACACTCATTGATAATTTCAAATTCAATGTAATTTCCTCTTTTTTTTCTTTTATTTCTTCCTCTTTAACCATGTATGTGTCGCACATGCAACGCAAGGGGGGAGAATGTCAGGGCAATAGCCCCGAACCCTGAGCCATATGTTGTGCACTATCTCTGTGCTGGTCTCCAAGTTTTTTTAGAGGCACAATTCCAAAAATGACACCACTTTGAACAAGGAGGGGAGGAAGAAATTATATGTTTTTCCACTTCCTATAGTGGTAGTAGAAACCAAGTCCTTTTTAGGCTTCCAAAGCAAAAAATGCACAATTTCAGCCTGGAAGTGGCATGCTCGCTTCTTCCATTCCCACTCACTCTGTCAGGGCAATAGCCCTGAACCCCAAGTCACATGTAACAAAGTTGTATGTAGAGTCATGTGGCCAAGCAGCAACTTCCGTTACTGCTTACACACATTACCATTTATACACATCTTCATATCACTTACGGTTCTGGTGTGCTGAGCAACCCCTGAGACCTCACACACTCTTAGCTATGATGAAATCAATGGGGGGTGGCCAGACTGAGTGTGTGTGCCTCTCTGAGGAAGGCATGAGAAGATCTGAGAGTGTGAAAGGTTGCTTACTTGTTTGGGGACAGTAATGTTCTGTTCCCCCATTCGCCTCAGGCCTCAGATAGTCCATCTAAATATAAGCTTGGATGGGCTGTATATTCAATGGGGCAGAGGTAAAAGGCTGCCAGGCCTTTACAACTACTCCGAGGTATATATATGTAAATTACATATCTCAGCACAAATAAATAAAGAAATACCAACATCACTATAATGGGAATTATAGCAATGCGGCATAACAATTGAATATAAATATCACTATAATTGGAATTATAGTGAAGTAAGGTTAATCCCTTACAGAGTGTGTCATATCCATCCATGGCCATCACCCTCCACTACCTCCGGTCCTTCTGGATCACCTCTGCTCCTTCGTCACTAACCTCGGAGCCTCCAGATTCTGCATCTACCTCCGACTCCCCCGATGGTCACCACCCCCTCAATTCAATATATTACCTATGCCTCCCTAAGTACAGAGCCCCAAAGGCCTCCAGACAGGTCCAACATCCACTAGCACACTCCCACCTCCGCTGGGCAACTTAGTTGCTTTCCCTGCAAGCCTACCTTCGGGCTGATCCCTCCTTTCCATTTCTGGGTTATAGCCCACCACTCTGCTAACCCCATAACCCAACTCATTGGTAATATTCAGTCAGCTAACATGTAACTGTTGGAGGAACCGTGTGCTATGAGGGTACTCCAGCAGAGTTAACCTGAACAGCCACGTTCCTGCGTTAGCGTGGGAATATTCTGGGAGAGCAACTCGCCCAGAATCCACCATGTGACTACTTAGTCACAACACCTTCTTTTGCCTATTTTGGACTAACCCGTGCCAGGCCACGGACATATTCATTCATTTGAATTCATTTCCTTTTCCCTCAGTTCTTCACGCATATTGGCTGAGACTGAGGTTAGTTAGTTACATTCCCTCATTGCTTTATCATTGTAACTTATATTATGTATATTACCTCTAGTCATTACTCATAGGTAATATATCCAGTTCTTCACGCATATTGGCTGAGACTGAGTCATTACTCATAGTCCAGCTCCGAGATCATAAGTCGCTCATCAACAGTAACTCCGTTAGCTCCGCTCTGCTTGGCCCTGTCATTCACGGGCCCACCCTCTATGTACCTATATATACTTAACTTGTAGATAGGTTACACCCTAGTGATAAAATCAACTAGAGTTAATCCCCTTTTTAGTTCCCGCTGCCAGTAAGTAAATTAGGGCACAGACATGTACTTGGCACAGTGCTCCTAGTCTGAGTTGCTGAGGCCAAAGCCCTCCACCACAGAGATGTATCCTTCGTCTTCCATCCGGTCTCTGACAGAGTGCAAGCTTGGATGGGCAGCAAATTCAGCAAATGCCTAAGTGTACTGCCACTGCCAATGTGTACCAGTCATTAGAGTGAAGTGTTGCACGCAAATTTTCGGAGTAGGTGATCAGACTTGAGTTTATCCCTGTGACTCTTTGTATTGAAAGTAGAACGTGACTTTACATTTAATACAAAAGTTACTTAGTTACATATCCACATTGCAGTGCATGTGCGCGTCCATGGAGTGAAAACAACTGGGTACAAGTCTGCCCTTGAACTATCCTGAATCTGTGCAAACAGTTGAGGTCAGTGCAGAGTCTCATCAAGCAAAGCGAGAACTCTAGTCAAACATGGTGACCTTAAAATTCATCATGTCCACTCATCTGACAATTTGGCTGATATTTGGCTGATATTTTCACAAAGCCACTTCCCTGAGTTTGCATCTGCTATTGGGAATCACCATGCAACTGGTAGTTGGTCATGTGAGTACAGTAACAATGGATGAAGGGCAGGAAGAATAAAGAGAAAGGCATTAAGGCAAAAGACGCAAGCAAGATAAGAAAAAAAAAACATGATGGAAGCGGAAGAACACGTAAAGGGTAGCAGGTAAGCGGAGATGGCTGGGTTCTAATCTAGGCGCAATGCAGCAGAAAAACGAGAAGTCATGCTCATCTCCCATGCTTCGTGAACGCATGAGCTGCGCGCAGTATGGAAGGATACCTCCCATAACTTACTCCAGTCCCAAATAATTAACTCTGGAGCAAAGCTATCTATCTAGTTGGAAGATAGAGAGATTGTCTGCAAGACACGTGCAAAATCAGCGCCACGGACTCGTACACAACGCAACATCAATGCTGATGGTTCACGCACCACAATATGTGGGTCAGGATTATTAGCGACGACGCCCGACGAATCTGCAGTGAGAAAGATTTTCTGTATCATTCTATCCCACACGACGGATATCGGTATGTCTGTGCGGAAGCATTCCAATTGAGTGTTGCCATGCAATATGGACAGAGAGGCCCTTCACCGCCGGGGGCACGAATCTCTGAATGTAACAAATAAGACACTCACCCCCACTGTCACGGTCCATCCACAGGATCGTGAGGTTTTTGGGGCCGCAGTTCCAAATCGCAGTCTCGTATTGCATTCCATATATAGACACTTGGTGCTCACTGGCAAGTTGAGGTTTGTTATTGGGTAAAGCTGCGTTTGACGTTTCAGTGGAATTAATGAAATTAGGTTAGGGTAGGTGATGAGTGCCTCCTGATCACCGTACATTTCGCTGCTGAACCCCCCAAAATAGCAGAGGTTGTCTTCACCAAACGGAGTATAACATCCGGTTGGATGAGACCCGCCAAATAGGGCCAGGGAGTTTGAGGATCCTGGAGAATTGCATTTGGAAAACAAACTAAGTGGTAGATGGAGGAAGGCAAGATAACGCACATTATCTCTGAAGGTCAGAATACTACGACTCTCCGGAGATAGCGAGGCTGTGAAAATAGCGGCATCCGACTCCTCACGTACGGTGTACCTATCGATCAATGAGATAGGCAGGCGTCAACTCAGATGCGATACAAAAAGCAAGCGGACGAAACACCCACTGATGGCCACCATCAGCAAGCGCGAGGTATCCAACGGTCGTTCCATTCGCGTCGGCTACTTGGAGCTTTCCCGTCCAAACATTTGTGTCGCTTGCCTGTGCCCTTCTGGCAGCTGGAAATCGGATCGGATCACGCCATAGATCTTCATGCTACGTGCCAGTGAAGGTGGGTACTCACCCTCAGTTCGTGAGGCTTCAATATTCTTCCTTCGAGCTGGGGGTAAAAGAGGTAAGCCCCTCGCGAGTCGCTGTCCGTTCGTGTCTCCGTGCACAGGGTCCCGAAGCTGAGGAATGCAGCCTAACTCCTGCCTCCGGACGGCGAAGACGGAAGCAGTGAAGAGGAGAAGCAAGAAAAGAACAGCGCGTCTGAACATGTTGGAAGACCCCACCGTAGCTGAGGGAAGAACACAGGAGATTTGTGAGTCGTTGCGACAGGTGACCAAGCAATGGCTTTAAATGAAGGATCGCAGAGAGAAAAAATATTGATCATTGATGATGGTGATCTTATTTTCAGTGCCGGTGGACAGGTGACAACATTATCGGTAATATTACGTAGAAACAGAATTACAACACGTTGCGCGTCTAGAGCGACCATTATTCAGGTGTTATGTTCGTTGAAAAGAAAGCGTGGATGTACGGTACCATAGGTGAAGGTGGAACATGAAACATGATAGTGAAGAAAACATGAGAGGTTTGACTCGCCACGTGTAACCACTGCCCACGTTATGTAAGTGCCTGATAGCCGATCGTGTGTTATCCTTTGCGTCTTCCCAGCGGTCTGAGAAGTCAGCGAGGTACTTATTCTGGACTTCACACCAGCGAATGCCTGGTTTTCAGGCAATGACAAGCCCTTCTTTCCCATATGAACGAACGAGTGCGGGTTTTTCAGCATGTGTTCAACTGTATGCTCGTTCGGGGCAGCTTCCAACTCGCGCTCTTCTGCATGCAAGAGGGTTGGTTGCATCAGCGCAGTGTAGATTGGGTTGCATTTCCGCAGAGTCCATGCACCATTTGTTTTCCGAATGCCCAGTGTTCCGAAGTTTTTGCATGTCCGCGGTGTCAGGGCTCTGTTCTAGAACCAAGGAGTTACTGGAAGACAAAGCTTCCGACGCATTGCAAAGGGCAATCATCGACTTCATTCCAGTTTTGTTTTCCCCTCAGTGTTCTTCTCACGACTCTCATTTTTGGCCTCATGGAGCGAATTTGTGGTATTTAGGACCATCCCTTTCATCCATCGTCGCTTTCCGGCTTTGTCCTCGCGTTGCGCATCCACTATGGGGCATGTGTGGCATTCCGGGTTCATTCATTTGGCAGGGAGAATTTGGGGTTTTATTTTGGGTTTGGGGGGAGATGGTTAAGGGCCGTTGAAAGTTAGGAAAGTAGTTAAGAAATTGGTCGGAGTGTGTTGGTTTTCACTATGTTTTCTATGCGTTGTTACGGACCACCTTAGCTGCTTTGTAGCGGAGTTGGCCGAATTTATTCGTTTATTCGTGTGTTGGAGTCAATAATTTACAGTAACCATTTAATACCTAGCGCTGTTCAGCTACCAATGTTATTACTCTGCACCAGAGTCACTCCTGTAGCTTTATTAGTAAATTTCTGACACTGAAACCGCTGAAATTACGTGTTCCTATTTCCTTTTTGGACCTTCTACGTTATGCTTTGTATGTCATTTGTATTGGAGAAACCGTGTACTATGGGAGGTAGGCCATATGAGTTTTCATACAGCCACATTCCCACATCCGAGCGAGGAACTCGCCCGGACAGCCACCTATTATTTCGGACTAATCCGTGTCAGGCCACGGATATATTCATTCATTGAATTAGTTTCCTTTTTCCTCAGTTCTCACACATTAGCTTGAGACTGAGCTATCAGCACTAGTTATCCAGCGGTTATTGTTATTCCATTAATTCACTTTCTTCTTACATCAGCAAAAGTCTGTTATGCTCCAGAGAGTCAAGAGTGGCTGGAGCATGTGGGAGACAAAACAACAGATTGGGCACTCCTGGAGCCAATAGTCTTCTCCTGGGAGGGGGTTCAGGAGCAGCTGGGAGTGGTGAGGAGTATGCAATGTGGCAGGAGCAGTGGGAGGTAGGGGTTTGTAAGAAGTTGAAAAAAAATAATTAGGGAAAAAATCAAAAATTTCAGGAACTGTAGGATATATAATTATTTGCAAAATTGAGGAAGAAATGATGGAGAAAAATGGAAAATACTTTTGGAGACCCAAGAAATAATGAGAACTGAATTGATGGGAAAGTCTGAAAATTGAGTAGGAAAGCATACAGCTGGGAGTGAGACCAAGAAGGATCAGGAAAAATTAGAACAGCAGAAAATAACAATGCTACAAGGCTTCCTTTTGCTTTCCTACTCAATTTTCAGACTTTCCCATCAATTCAGTTCTCATTATTTCTTGGGTCTCCAAAAGTATTTTCCATTTTTCTCCATCATTTCTTCCTCAATTTCACAAATAATTATATATCCTACAGTTCCTGAAATTTTTGATTTTTTCCCTAATTATTTTTTTCAACTTTTTAGAAATCCCTATTTTTCAAATTTTCCTCATTTCCCTCTATTTCCCCCCCTCATTTCCCCCTCCTCCATATCTAACAAACTTCTGAAAGTGATTAAGTTGCCACATCAATCATATATCAGGCCATAAATTTTGATTGCATATCAGTGAGTCTCAGTATATATGGTATAGTGTTTGATCTAAATGTTAAGCAGTGTCTTGTTGTGTTAGTCTTGTGGTAGGAGGCATTCATGAGGAATCTTCCCTCTTTTTTCCTGTACATTTTTAAATGCTCCATACCCAGCCAACTCCAGAGGAAATGCAGAAGTGTGAGCCTTTCCTGGACTGGCCAATCTCCTCCTGATTCTCCCAGTGCTCTCCATACTCTGGAGCACTCAGGAGCATAACAATATTTTCCTGATGTATGTCTTAGGTCATGTTCTCTTTTGCAGTGTCACCACCATAGTCACTGAAAGCACTAGAAAATGATTGTATAGACACTGATATGCTCTCGGTCACCACTGCCGATTTTTCCCCGCTGCATTGTGGCCATGTCACCATTTTTGAATTTTCACTCCCTCTGAGGCATGGGATGCTGTAAGAGTATAGTTAAAAGTTGTGAGTATTGCCTCACACTCCTAGTCCATCAATGATACACTGTATTATCAACAGGGGAGTAAAGACTGGAAAGCCTTAACTCACACAAGAATGGGAGAGCACATGCAGCCTGTGCAGCTTGCAGGGTCTCCAACTATATACAGTTGAAACTGTGGTAGGCCATACCTGAGATAACACATAACCTGCCATTACCCATAGGAATTTCTGGGAACCAGTATGGTTCCTATTGTCTAACCCATAAACCCACCATCCCCCATAATGCATAATGTGTTGGGAAATTTTTATATTGCAATCTCGCGAAATTTGATCCATAACCCATAAGTATGAGTGAGATTGACATGTAAATATTGAAAGGTTATTAACAGTTATTAATGAGAGAATGATGAGACTACATAGTGTTGTCCCTTTATTCCATTCGACTCTCCTCATCCATAGCTTTCTAATGATACTGATTTTGTAAAATTTGGTCCTCCATTATTGCCAATTCTGCATAACCCAGGGTCCTCCAATCACTATGTTCGTGACCATTCAGTTGCACATATTCTGTTTGGTGATTGTTACAATCCAATATTACCCATTCTCCTTCTCTCTCTCTCACTTCCCCATCTATGGCCAGTATGTTCTGGATGTACTTTTGGGCTCTCGTCTGCAGGTCCGATTCAATATCGGAATTGATCTGCCATGCTTTTGCACATTTCATGCTCTGATGATAGTTCTGATCTGGATGGAGGTGACATCTGACATCCCCTCCACTGTTTCCAACAAATTTTGAGCTATTACTGTATCCAGATGGAAAGATCACCATTCAAAGTTCTGAGTTCATCACGGTTTGCATTGCTCCATCTTTGTCAGGGTTCAGCACCCTGCCCTAGGGTGCCCCAGACTCCCCAACCAATCCCTTCCTTCCATTCCTTCATTGTTGCCTTGTTGTTGCCTTTCTGTGTTGTGTATCCGCGTGCACGGGATAGCGTGGGAACTTTCTGAGCGAGCAGCTCGCCCAGAATGTTCCCACGGGTCACAGCCACAGTTCTGGGCGAGCAACTCGCCCAGAACGTTCCCACGCTTACTGGGCACTGCCACCTGGATGTTCCCTCCGGGTCACACTACACAACTCTAAGAGCTGTATAGTTGTGGGCATGTGACCCATTCCTTTATATAGCAACCATGTGGGGAGATGAGACCCTTACCCTTCTTCTCATCTCATGCCCCGCATAGGCAAGTGTATATATTATCTTTCCTTTTACTATACATCTCATGCCCTGCATAGTGTGAGGACAGGTTAGATGGGGGCTAAGGTCAGGGAGCCTCCAAGTCCGAGGCCGGGCCCTGACAATCTTACTTCTGAAATCTCTACCTCTACTTCTCCATCTGAAGATCCTTATCAGCGTCTGACATGCTTTTGGTCTCTTGTCTCATGATATACTTTTACTCCGAGGTCAATGTCCACTGGCCACACCTCATCCTCTCCCTTGTTACAGAAGATTATATTAGAGACAAGGTTGACATCCCACCTTTATGGCACATGGACTCACCAGCCGCAGGAGATTACTATTCCCAATCCATCTTTCTTGTTGATAGGCGGCATTGTAGGCTTAAAAGCCACTCATCATGACCGTTTTTTTCCTCTCTCCTCAGTTACACTATTGTGAACTGAGGTGAGGTCTCATTCTTGGTCTCATTAGACCTTTACTTAATAATCTTTCATTGTCTAGCGCTAGTTTGTAATGCTAGTTCTCTCACAGGTTATTTGCCCAGTGAACTCCATACCCATCCACCTGTAGGGAATGGATGTGCGGTGATGCGTGCTGTGCATGCTTTCTTTATTCATTGTTTATTTCTCGATGTAAACAATGTATATAAATTGTGGGGAAGAGTGAAACAGGCTTTCACTCTTCTCCTCCCCTGTCGAATTACAGCTCTGTACTGCCTAACTTCTGACAGCTTGAGGATAGCAAGAGTCAACACCAAGGTAAGAACCTCAACCGACCTTACACCACCTCACCCCTCTCCATGTCTTCCACTGCCATATCTACTGATGGTTCTCGTTATTCCATAAAACCCCTTGATAATGAAGGAAAGAATTACCGAGTTTGGGCATCTAGGATGAAACTCATCCTCGAGGTTGGAAATGTTTGGGAAGTTGTCGACCCCTCTTCTAATGGTGCTGTTATGCCAAAGGGGCTCGATGCTGATGACCTGATACTTCTTGAATGGACAAAAAAGGATAAGTTAGCCATGACTCAACTAAAACTCTATATCGACGACGAACCTATGATGTCCGTTGAAGAGCAAACTTCTGCTCAAGGAGTCTGGCAAGCTTTGTCTGATA